ACCATTGGCTCATGCGCTACTTCCTGAAATGGTGGAATTTCAACTAGTTTTTGGTGCAGTGACTGTATAACCATCCATCTTCTTTTGATGCTTCCTTTTACTTTCTTCATAAATGATTACCTTGATGTCCTCCCACAGCTCATCAGGCCTGCGATTATAGTGTCCAATGAATGCATCAAATCTGTTCTCGAAATTCAGGCGTGATAAACTCTCAAGATTGTATTTTGGCTCTTGTGGATTTCTTTCAATTTTCTGATATGATCACTTGATGGCACATTCCACAGTTGGCTCCTGATCTGGTTTTAGCTGCTGTTATTGAACTTCTTCATTGTGTTTCCCCACAGATGTAGTCATTTTCCTTTCTGTGTATTCCATCTGGGGAAGTCCATGTATATAGTCACATTTTGTAATATTGAAACATGATATTTGCTATAAACAAATCGCTGGTTTTGCAAAATTCTCTCATGTGATCTCCAGCTTCATTTCTACCACCGAGTTTATATTTTTCAACTACTGTTCCTTCTTTGTTTCAAACATTTGCATTCTAATCACCAATAACTAACAAGGCATTTTGATTGCATGTTTGATCAATTTCTGACTGAAGTCATTGTTGGTAGAATTCTTCAATTTCTTTCTCACTAGCTTTTGTGGTTCGTCCATAAATTTGAAGAATAATTACACTGCTTGGATTTCCTTGAAGGTAGATAGATATAATCTTATCACAAACAGCATTAGATTCCATAATGGATTTAGCAAGATCCTTTCTGACAATGAATGGCATGCCATTCCTCTTGATTGTATCATTACCAGCATAGTGTATCATATGATTTTCTGAATCAAAATTGGCAATACCAGTGAATTTCACCTCAGTCATGTCTACAACATCGATCTTCATGTGTTACATTTCATTTTTAACCAATGCCAATTATCTTAAATTCATACTTGGCACATTCCAAATTCAGACCATTCAAAGGTTGTTGCAGCTGTTTCTCTGTACCCATGAGTCATGCCCCATCAGCAAATGAAGATCTTGCATGCTTCACTCCCCAAAGCTTACCTGAGCCATGTCATTTTGGTCGACTCCCCTCCAAGAAATCATCTTCTTTTCAGTCACATTTCGAGTGTCTTCAAGATGCAAGAAACGTTCTAAACCTTCCAAAGATGCTTCCCTGCTAGAATTGCTCATGTTGATCTCACTTTAAAGTGAGGTGTACACTTTTCTGTCAGAGCGTATCAACTTTAGGTCCACAGAGCAGCCGAATGGACTCTTTTCTATTCACATTTGAAAATTTGAGCCCAAACTGCTAGGCTGTGGTATTCACAGGCAAACTTCAGTGGAGAGGGTTCTCTTTGTTGTTTGTTTGTTTTTGATCATTTTATTAGGGGCTCATACAACTCTTATCAC